GGGTGTCTAGTCCTGAGATGATAAACGAGATTTGTTGTGTTGTAGTTCTTCGTGTTGCCACCACCTCTTGAAATTTGATCGCTACAAGTACAGCAAACTATAGTCAGTTTCAGTTGAGTTGCCCAAGCACCACCCCTTATAACTTTTTTATTACTAATGCTAGTAACCTAAAACTTGGTATAGTTGCATAACGGGTTCTTCCGAAAATCTGTACCAATTTTTGAGTCTCTAGGTTCTCTGGAAGGTTCTGAATGGGTTCTTCCGCTCTAGTTCAAAGGGAGCCGCCATGATGAATCACTACGTTCACACTACATCACACTCGTGAATATAATTTGCATCTCATTATTATTTTAAGAAAATTAATGTTTTTTATTTTATAAAATAAAAGCAGACAGATAAGGTCCTCTAAAGAAGGAGGCATTCAACTAGCAGTCTATACTACTGGGAAACATCTGCTATACCTGTCCACAGCCTTCTTGATCGCCGTTATTCTTCATCACCCTCAACCTAGGTTGTTATCTTCTGTATTGGAGGTATTTGTCAGCTTTATAACAGAAAAAAGGTCTGGCCAGTGATAATGAAAGGTAGTAATATCCAAAGCAAGGATAAAATAGACAATAAAAGGTCTTAGAGGTGAAGAAACGCTCAATGAAAGAGTTTGCTTGCACTCTGCCACCATGTTTGGGTGTGGCTAGGAATAACGTTTTGTGATGCAAACATTGATTTACTTCCTGTGGCAACTCAAATGAAACTGACTATACCACTCTTGAGTCTTCAGCAATGTCAAAGTACTGCCATATAGGCGATCTCTTCTTTGACATCTCGGTAAGTGTAAATTTGTAGAAGTAAGCAAGCAGGTAAGTCCTGAGTCAAGTGAGTCCACATGTAAATTAGCCACACCCAAAAACGGGTGTTTACCAGTTATACGTGTGCGCAGCAGCCACGTGTATATTAATTATAATAATTTGATTTTACCGATACCGATACACTGGAAAAACTGCCGATAAACCGATAATCGATATACCAATAGATTATCGGTGCAACTCTACTCTACTACCGTACAGCAGGAAATATTTGCGGGGAATTAAATTTTGCGAGTTTGCGATTCCATTTAAAGTGCAAAATTTAAATCCGCAAAATAATGAAATTCATGCATGACCACAGTAGATAATGCTACAATAACTGTCAAAACCGCAAATATTTAATCCGCAAACCAGGTTATTTTTAAGGATTCGCAAAATTTTTCTCCGCAAAATTAACCAGCTGTACGGTATATCCTAAGTGTGGTAATCCAGCTGCGAAAGTAAGAATCTGATCCTAACTAAAAGCCACAACCAAATTCCCAAACTACATGTCTGGGATGTACCCAAATCAGTTGCTTCCTCAGACCATGGGACACTAGTGTTTTGCTTTTGCCTTACTTTATGATTCAGGCCATTGACTGACAGGAAACTGAGTTTTTAATGTACAGTAGTAATAGAACTAGAAACAGATTTTTGTTTGTCTTATCAAACTAAGAACACACCTTGCTCTAGAGGATCACAGGTGGCAGCAGAGGTTCAGAGCTTTGCATTTGCCAAGGCTTTGCTACTCCCTATCAATGCTCGAAGGTGGAGTTTAAGGGTGGAGCCAATCGGTACTCCATAATCATAGATATATCTATGCCATAATTAGGATACATGTAGGTAAGCTCAGGATAAACAGAGGATAGAATTCCTTCCCCAGCCAGGTGACCTACATTAGATGGCTGCAGACGATCTTATGTTACCACAAAGACGGAGGACCCTAAGTTACTCACTGCATAAGTAAGGAGGGGATCAACTGATGCAAGGGGAAGCAATCAGATCCAGAACCTTCTAGAGGATGAGAGCATCTTCCCAGTCCACAAAAAAGATGATAGCATGATGCCTAAAGATTGGTTTCTGCACCCATGCATCCCCCAGTGATGGGTCCCTTGCTGGTCAACACTATTTTGTCAGCGTTTCATCCAAGAGGTGCTGCCTATCACGCTCTCACTTAGCAGGATACAATGATTCTTGTTACTAAACCAAGGATGAGTCTAATGTCAACGACATGGAATGTGGGTGTGGTACTACACCATAATAGTCAGCACCACTCAAACAGCCCAAACTAGAGCTTATCATTGCTGAGGATTATTCCTAAAGGCAGTGAAAGTCATTGGCATTGACACACTCAGGTTGTTTTGCTGGCTCTCGAACTTAAGGCTAAGGGGTACAGGAATCCTCATGAGGGTACTGTGTCTGCTTGTACAGATATGATGAAGCAATCTAGACCTGATAGAGGTAGGAAAAAGTCCTTCTCCAAGGTTTACTTTGTGAATGAGCAGCTGTGTATCGGCACTCAATACATTGTAGTAACAATGATTATTGTTAATCTCGTTCATCAAACCACATCAACCAGTAACCTACCCATCACTGCTATGGAGTATCAGTTGAGTCAGAGCCCAACTACTGTGGTTTAAAGAACCACAATAGAAGATATTTTAAGTGTAACAGACTAAAGCACAGATTTCCCTGCCAATGATTTGGCACAGATTTCCCTGCCAATGATTTGGCTAGAGACCTTTACAAGATATAGCCTCAATGAAATCAGTCCTTAAGACTACAAACAACACCATTGTTATGTGAGACTGAGCCTTCTGAAAAATGATTGCAAAATGGCTAAGGCTGTGAAGTGGCTGATTGCTATTCTAGATTATACGAAGAAGGTGAAGTGATGCATATCAATAGTCTCCCACCCATTACACCCAATAATGATAGTGTTGAGGCATTGATATGTGGGACGTCACATATTGCTTGAGTGCTTTGAGGTAATACTATTATTAATAACATCGTTATCAAAAGGCCACTGTTGTCATACCGGGTCAGGGCATATATAGCTAGTTAGAGCCCCACCCATAGGTCGAGTAAGTTACTGTAAACTTACTACAAACTAACTGAAATTTTAGAAAGCTAGGCCAAACACCATTGATATGCTCAACTTCACCTTCTTCATATAATCCAGAATAGCATTCAGCCGCTTTGCAGCCTTAGTCATTTTGTAATTGTTTGTGCAAAATGAGCCTCCCTTCAAGAAAAGCACAAGACGTGATTAACATCTACTGGATATATGTGAGAAAGGAGAGTCACTGTTGTGATTCTGTTTTCTTCTCTGTTCACTTACTATGTCTGATTTCAATTTTTTAATGTGACAATATTTTAAAAACTCAACTTTAGCACTTGTTTATTTCTTTATAGACAATAAAGAATGGCTTAAATGTTATACAACTTGAAACAGCTGTTGGTTCTGCCATAAAGAACTTTTCTGGAGCCCTTGGTGAGTTATGCTCTTTTTATTTTATTGTAGTCAATGTGATCTGTTGATTCACATAATAGTGAATTTTGTCTATCTGTGTCAATAGTTTGAAGTAATGAATAGTGTATTATTGAAATACTATATGAATTTTCTACTATTATCTGTCAGTCAAACACTGTCAATACTATTTGAATATTAATGCCACTCTTTGTTATTTAAATTAATTAAATTAGTAAGTAGTTATTTAGTAAACTGCATGCAATGTCGACTTGAAAGAGAAGAAATCAAGTCTGGCATTATTTTGAGCTAATTAAAGTTAAATGCAAGCTATGTGTGAAGCTTTGGGGTATATTGGTACTATTAAGTACCGCGGTATTTTTTTCTGGTGGTATTATATATAGAGAGACTGGCCAAAAATTAAAATATTGAGTACGTTATAATATTGAGTACGTTGTAATATTGAGTACAGTATCCACTATTGTAATATTTATTAATAGCTTTTAATGATCATGATGTAATAATTTGTAATGCCACGTGAAAGTAATGGAAAGAAACATGGCTGCCATTTCTGGAGAAGCCTCTTATACCTCTGAAGAAGCAGAGGAGATAGACTTAAACGATGATCCTACTTTACCTCCATCTATTGGTAGTACAACTACAACTTCTAGTGATGAAGTACTAAGTGCTAGACTTCTGCCGAAGCCAGGTACTAAAAGTGCCATTTGGCAATACTTCGGCGTGAAAGCAAACGAAGATGGAGAAGTTTTGGACGATGGTAAAGCATTTTGTAGGCTATGTAGCAGAGGAGTTATTGCTAGAAGCGGTAATACTTCTAATCTCATGGCACATTTATGCAACAATCACAAGCCGCGATATTCCCTGCTCAGGACCAGTGCCAGTAAGCCGATTAAAGCTAAACCTCAAGCACAGGATCAACCTACCATTAGTTCTTTATTTCTTCATAGTCAGCCATATAGTCGTCACGGTAAAAGATGGAAAGAATTAACAGATTCTGTAACTCGTTTTTTAGTCAAGGATGAACTACCAATGTATTCAGTACAAAAGGATGGCTTCAGGCAGATGTTGAAAACATTTGGTAATAGGCATGAAATTCCTGACCAGAGCTACTTTTCACGTACAGCAGTACCAGAGCTTTATGCTATCACTAGAAAAAGAGTGGCAGAGCAAGTGGCAGAGCAAGTGGCAGCTGTAAGATATTTTGCTAGTATAGTCGGTTTCAGTTGAGAAGAAACCACCACCGTCCCCTTTAACTTTTTTGTTACTTAGGCTATCAATTTGAAACTTGGTATACTTACAGAACGGATTCTTCCAAAAATCTGTACCAATTTTGGATTCTCTAGGTACTCTGGAAGGTTCTAAAAGAGTTCTTCCGGTGCAGATAAAAGAGAGCCGCCATAATGTATTATTTCTAATTGATGACATCACAAAAACGTCATGCGCGCATAATATTTGCATATCATTAACACGTGGTTAAATTAATTTTTCACGCCTTTTAATAAAATTTAATTTTTATTTAAAAATGATTTTATCAATGAAAAATAGCAAATATAGCAGTGTTCTTGCACCCTAGACAAGGGTGATGGCCAGTACCATCGTGAATAGGTGACACTGCATCACTGGCCCCCTACCCTACCACCCTATGAGGCTGCTATGTTGAGAAAGGACGATATTTTCACAAAAAGGCCATGGAAGAATAATTGATAAATAAAGCAGGTATTCACTCACAAGCCCTCTACTGCATTAAGCACAGAGGATTGTTTTATTCCTCAAGCATTAAGCAGTGGACTGTTTCCCCACCTAATTTTGATGGTGTTCTTCAAGTGGGTATTAACTCAGAAGCCCTCTACTGCAATGAAGCAGTGGACTGTT